AAAAGAACAGCACTTAAAACTAACTCATTTACCCTCTAGCAGGAAGCAAACAAGTAAAAACCATCCAGCAGGAATTACAGCATGGTTATCAGGACAAAATTCAAAAGCAACAGATAGCCATTGCCAAAAACGTTCAATGGAAGAACTATGTTTCAACCTGGTGATGGAAGATTGCAAGTGAAGGTTCCAGGAGAATCTCACATGGAAGGGCATTCATATGGATGTTATCAATGAAATAATCTTACCATTTCTTGCAGTCTCTTTAACTCAGTCAACAGAATAGTGCAAGATCTCAGATGTTTGATAGCTGACTATCAAGGAGCTGAATATAAAGAATAATTGTACTGAGAAACAAAATACTGAGAATCAAAGCATGAAAATATCTAATTATAAATAACACACTACCGGTACTTGTAATTCTTTTTTTATTAACTTAAGTTCTATTTAGACATTTTAAAAAACATGTTAACCTGAACACATAAGAAGGGGAGCTTGCTAGTCCCTTCCTCCTCCATTGTTACTCTCCACGCATAAAGAGCATCATTCTCAATGGGGGATCTTCTACTGTATGTCGAGGCAAGGATGGCTGGTGGATCTATTTCCACAGGGATGGCAAATTCACTGTAGATTTTTCCACCTGTCCCTTCAAGCTGTTCCAAGTTGAATAGGAGCTTGGATGATGTGGAACCTGGTTGTTTGTTCCCTATAGCTGGCACCAATTAGCAATCTAGCTGCAGCTCTTTGTGTCACCTAAGGTTTCCAAACACTCCAAGGCCAACTCCACATGAACTTTCTTACAGTAATTCAGAAGCGATATGACTCAGGTTTCTGTTACCATGGCCAGATCTGAAATCTCCATGAACAGGCACAGTTGGCACACTAGCATTAAAAGTGCAAATACACTCGTGGTCACAAATTAAACACGAGCCTCCTAAATCCCTATGCTTTGAATTTTCCTTTTGACTGACCAACAATACCACTGCCCTGTCTTTTTAATGGATATATCAAAATTGCTTCCCATTGTACAGTATGGACAAATTCATTTACATTTAAAATATAACTTTTTTCTTCATCTGTTTTTATGTATGTTTAACTTGTATTTTTACATTTTTGTTTTGTTTTGTTTATTGGTTGGGTTGCTTTTTTTCTTTTCATTTTGTAAGCCACCTTCAATTCCAGCTTTGGAGGAAAGGCAGAGTATAAGTCAGGGTGGGGCTGTGAAGTCCCTCCCCAACAATAAAGCCCCCAGGATTTTTCAGGTGATATTTTTGCCCAAAAAATCATCCCAAAAGGGGTCAAAACCACTGCCAAACATAGTCCCCCACATACCCACAAATTTATTTTTAAAAAACAAAATTGGTCAAAATCAAACCAGAAGTAATAATGTTGGCTATGCTGGCATGTCCCCTGGGAAGGGTGCAAGAGTGCAAAATGGTCCCACCCCTCCACAATACCCTACCCCTAGTGTAAACAAATGATACAGTTCAACAAAATATCAGACCTCCTGCCTTGCCCACAGTAAATCAACAATTGATGTAGTCAGCCCTCCATATTTGCGGCTTTGACTTTTGTGGATTTCAGTATTCACCAATTTGATTAATATGTTGTCCCTATTAATCTCTAGTTCTTCTAATGCAATTCTATCATCAATGTCCACCAGAAGTTGCACTGGACGACTTAGGGCCTTTACAGACTGCCAGAAATAATGCAGCTTGTGTCCACTTTAACTGCCTTGGCTCAGTGCTAGGGAATCATGGGAACTGTAGTTTTTTCTGAGACATTGAGCCTTCACTGTCAGAGAGCTCTGATGCCACAATAAACTACAGTTCCCATGATTCCCTAACACTGAGCCAGGGCAATTAAAGTGGACTCAAGCTGCATTATTTCCGGCAGTCTGTAAAGGCCCATAGAGAGTCCTAGAGAGAAGACTTCTTGAGGCACTTGTAGGTCCTCCGGCACAATTCTATGGTTACCTTCTGGCAGACGTTGACCATAGAGTCAGTGGCATCGATAGGGTTGGTGTCACCTGGTGCAGTAACTCATGGTGTCACCCCTCACTTTGACCTCCTCCTCCCATCCTACATCCATACATAATCTTTAGTCATGGGTATTTTTTTTAC